AAAAACTATCTCAATCAATTCTTCATTTTACAAGTAAATGACTTAGCTAGGGTAGCACAGGTAGTTGGTAGCAGAGCTGAGACTAGAACTGAAGTCCCTCAACTCTGAGTCCATTGTCTTTATAATTGCATTGATTGTACTACCTCTGACTCTCAGGGTTTTCATGATACTGAAGTAGCAGAATTAATTTGCATCTTTCCATTTTAAAAACTTACCATGTTTAATGGTTCTGAATTGGCATACATCAATGTTTTCATTGATTCATAGCATTTTGCTGATTTTTGATAGAGATTTATACCTATTGATGTGTGCTTCAGGTTCTTGTTTGACCTGGGACAAGTCACTTAACCTAGGTTCCTCAACTTTATAATGGTATTAATAACTCTTTCATTAGCTATTGTATAGACTTCTTACGGGAGGGCAGCTAGGTGGTACTGTAGAGTGCTGGGCCTAGAGTCAGTAATCCTCATCTTTGTGAGTTCAAATCTGGTCTCAGGTACTTACTAGCTGTGTGACCCCAGACAGATCATTTAATCCTGTTTGCCTCAGTTTCCTCATCTGTAAAATAATCTGGAGAAGCAAATCACCCCAGTATCTTTGCCAAAAAACCCCAAATGGGGTCACAAAGGAGTTGGACACAACTGAAATGTACATCTGAAATGATTAAATAACAAAACTCTTTTGTGAGGAAAGCAATATTAACATTAACATACTATTAAAAATGAGAAGAAAGGTTAGAGGAGTCTCTATTGTAACTATCATGATAGCTTTCTTCTTTACGTCAGTTAGAGGATAGTTTTAGGTACTGAGCAGTACTATTATTTGGATACTCCTTTAAACCCAGAGAATTAGATAATGCTCTAAACCAAAAGTAGAAGAGTGTAACATCAGAATATCTGTACTGTATTTTTATCACTGGAGAAAGTGTCTTCTGACAACTGTGAAGTAAATATAACTTCCTCAAGTAACTCACCAAAACTATTTCACTTTAATAGAATTGGTAATTAAAAAAATTTTTAAAAAAAGAATTGGTTATAGATTTAGAGTGAAAGGGATTTTAGATGATATCTACTCTAACACCCTTATTTTACCGTTGAGAAAATTAAGGACCAGAGAGGGGAAAATGTTTTGCTTAAGGCATCAAAGAGAAAATAAGCAGAGACAGAATTTAAATCTCCAGATCCAGTGTAGTAAAATCAAGGACATCACTACCAGGATAATTCTAACTAGACTATTAAAATTATAAATTATTAAACTGAACTAAGCTATTAAAATGACATTCATTATATTGAAACTTTTTATAGTTGTTGATCTCTGATTCCCTCCATTGTAATATTTTAGCAACGTAAAGGTTTCTATGTTCTGACTAATAATTAAATGTTTATATGTCATGCGTTTTGAATAGAAATAGAATTAAGAAACATTTGGTCAAAATATTCTTTAAGCATGGTCATTCATTTTTTTTTTTCTTGCAAAGGCAAATTGTTCAAAAGTTGGATTTCATAAAATTTCAATCACATTGTTATTCTAAATTAGAGATGATCAATTTTAGGAATAATTGTGTTCTCAATTTCAAGGACTACTGTACTTTAAACTTGAAGATGAGGATAGTGAAAGTCATTATTTCAAAGGAGTAGCAAAATTTTTAGAGTGAGAGAGAGAGAGAGAGAAAGAGAGAGAGAGAGAGTGTGTGTGTGTGTGTGTGTGTGTGTGTGTGTGTAAAATGACTTATTCAGGGCTCTGACTCCGAGTTAGGACTCCTATCTTCAGACTCTAAATGTCTTTTCTACTCCACTCTGTTGCTTCTCTTCATGTTGTTTTATGATTCCCTGAAATTATTTAGTTAAATAACATTATATAAAGAAAGATTCCTAGCAAATAAAAACAATTCTGTTTTACAAATACTTCCTGCTGTACAAGAGGGACATTTGCTCACCAATTTCCCACATTGAAGTAGTACACAGTGTTAGGTCATGAAACTGAATATAACCAGGGCATTGTTTAAAATGAATAATGTGCAGTGTGACCAAGGAAACTGTGATTTTTTTGTTTTTAATGGCTATGGTTTTTGTTACATAGTTGTAAATTAGAATTTATTATATCTTGGGATTTGCAAAAGTAGTATTTGTTTTGCATTTTGATATTTGAGAGCTTTTAATTTATAAAGTATATTGTGATATTTGTAAAAATGTCTACTGATTTAATTTGATCAGTTAAGAATAGAATGAGTGACTTTTCAGTTAAAATAGCAGTTTTCCCTTAGACAAGTATCTATCTTTATTTCTGTTTATTATCTTATTTTCTGGTGCTTTTCTTTCATATTAAGTACTTGAGCAGCCATTTGGTGATGCCTTTTTCCATTACAAATTGAATTATATACATTAGCTTATCAAAGATTATTTTTTGGTGAGAAATTTAATTTGAAACTATTTTGGTTAGGGCCAGGAAAAAAAGGGCCCTATCCTGGCCCTTTTCCTTTCTTTGGACTTTTAATCTATTTTTATGAATTTTGATGTTGTCTCTTTGCAGATGACTCCTTAGATCTATTTGTCAGTCTCCACCCTCAGCCCAGATATTTAGTCCTGTATTCCTACTTGATTTCTGGACATCTTCAACAGTATATTTTACTGGCTTTTCATTCTTTTTTTTTTTTTTTAATTTTTACTTTTAGTTTAAAATTTTCTCCATTGCTTCCTCTCTCCACTTTTACTGGCTTTTCAAAATCAAGATGTCCAGATTTCAACTCGTCTTTCCTGTCAAGCTTGCTCCGTCCTCTAAATTCTCAATTTCTGTTGATGGCATCACTCTCCACTCTCATTCAGATTAGTAGCCTCAAAGTAATCTTTGACTCTTTTCCCCTCACTGCCCTATACATCTAAATAATTGCCAAATCTGCCTCTGCATTAATTTTCAAATTTATTTTTTCCTTCCCTGATGGTTCAGGGTTTCTTGTCTTTTTCTGTAGCATATTATTTGAGTGTCTTGTTTGTCCTTATCTCTAGTCTTTCCCCATTTTAATCCAACCATTATGCCGCTGCTCAAGTAGTCTTTTTTTCATTCACAGTAGGATCGTGTTACTTCTCAACTCAAAAAATATAGGGGATTATAAGATCCTTTTGGGTTGGTAGGGTCCTTAGAAGTCATTTAGTCCAGTCTCCTCTTTTTACAGATGAGGAGACAGAAGCCCAGAAAGGTTAAGCAGCTTTCCTGTGATCACCCCAGGCAAATGGGAATTCCCATCCAAGTCTGCTGGTGTGTTGTGTGTGTGTTCTTCACTGTGAGATGTGACGTCTTGACTTTCATGTGAATTAGAGTTAAGTGAGGTGGCTACGTGAGGTCTTCAGCTTGACTCTCCTCGAGAGTCATCCAAGTCCAGGAGCAAGAAGAAAGGTCAAGTCCTCTGAGTTTAAACTCAGTGCTCTACCTCCTGTTCCTTCAGTTGCCCCCTAGCGCTTAAGGTATAAAGTAGAAACTCTCGTCCTTTCAACTCCCCACCAGCCTGCCTCCACCTTACCTTTCTTATCTAGTCTCCTTCATACATTCTATGTTCCAGCTTTTGTCACTGCTTATCTTTCTCTGTTCAAGACCAGCCCTTTCTCATCTCTTTAAGGCCTTTGTTCAAAATATGTCTTTGCCTAGAACGAACTCCCCTTGGACCTGCCCTTCTTTTGAAGGGCCTCTATTCCAGAAAATTTACCTTCTCCTCCTTTCCTGACCACATCACATTCTTTCTTCCCTCTCCCATTTAATCTCAAGTGGGGTGAAAATTATCCCTCAGATATATGTCATAGCATTTGCTCGTCTTTTTTTTTGTACTTGTAACACCTTTTCGCATGTATGAATTGGACCTTACCCCCAGCATATCCCCAAACTCATTTTACCTGTATCAGCTATTGCCAACTCTCTAGGCCTCTCTTCTGTGCTTTGGAAGCTGCCTGTTGAAATGTTAATCATTGGTGCTTATGCAGCACCTAACACATTATAAATTGTAAAAACAATCACCATCTTCATGTCTTTTGATTTTTCTAGGGGTTTTCCATAAATCTCTACATAGTAATACAGGGCAATGTATGTAGCATTTTGGGGTGGGGGAGCATTTTTTTATGAAAGAATTTGGGCCTTTTGCTTAAAGATCAGATGTTTGTCACGCTTACTTTAGTTTCTTATTGGTTTGGCTGCTGTGAGCATTAAGTTTGTCTCTTTCTATATGTTATTTTCTTTCTCCATGTAGCTCCATCCTCTACCAGGATCTATACCCTGCTTCCCCCAGGAACAGCTTGAGTCTTCGGGAATTGCCCTAGGCTTGACCATGCAGTGGCATTACTGCTACATTACCCACATTTTTCCTCATGTCTTTCTTGTACGTCAGTTTTACTTTTGCCCTTGCCATGTGGTACCAACACAAATAGGGAGGACACGGATTATCAGGATAACTAAAGAATAGGAAACTGTAAAAGTTCAAGGTTCACAGATTGTCAATTGCCTTGATTTCTCCCCACAGACTCCAAAAGAGCACATGTTTCAGGTATCTGACATAGTGTCTTGTAGCCAATATTTAAGTGAATTGTTTCATTCCTGCATTCTACTAGGGCAAGTTCCATTTCAGTATTACTTATTATCAAAATTTTTAACCTATTCACCTTTGCTTCCTCTTTATTGAATCTTTGGTTTCACCTTATACCCATCAAATTGACAAAGATCACAAAAGAGAGCAATCGATGTTGGAAGGACAACAGGAAGACTTTGACTTGAAAAGACTTTATATACTCATAGTTCACTAAGTGCTAAGCGCTAAAAAAAATTTTGAAACCTACTCCCTAATTTCTATGTTATGTTTGGTTTTAATTCTGAGTGATATTATATCAGTATTGTCAACTGGTGTGATTGAGGAGTTTGACAGTTTAAGATGATTATTAAATTACTTTTCATTCTCTCTCTCTCTTCCTCTGTCTTCCTCCCCCCTCTCTTTTTTATCTCTCTCCCATCTTTTTCTCTCACAGCCTCAGCGCCAGCCAGCAGTGTAAATAAATTCCGAGCTTCACCCAATTTCCATTCCACCGTAGATAAAAAGAATATCGTCATGTCCAACATTACTATTGACCCAGATGTCAAACCTGGGGAATATGTCATCAAGAGTCTCTTTGCAGAATTTGCTGTTCAAGCTGAAAAGAAAATTGAAGTTGTAATGGCTGAGCCTTTGGTGAGTGCCATGGGTATTTGTTTATTAAATGTTTTTAGTGCCTTTATAGTAACAATGGTTGCATATGCAATTTCATTCAAAAAAGAAGCAATATGATCTAGGATGATTGTAAAGGGCAAAAAAAGCTTCCTAGATACTTTGGAAAATACTTCACTAATATTATTTGTGTGCTGTTTTAGTAGTTTATTAATGTCTGTTACAGAAGCTTTTAAGTATTTAGTTGATCGAGATTCTACTTTGGTTGTTAATTTTCAAAATTTAATTGAGCACATTTAAGAAAGCTCTGCCTTATACTGTTGGAATTAACATCCTTAACAGATAAAAATATTGAGACAGTTTATAGAAGGAACTACAAACTTGTACAAACCAAACTGGAATACTTACCATTCCCTGAATACAACATCCTAATTTCTCTCTCTTCACTTTTGCATAGGTGGCCCCTCATTTAGAGAATATATTCTTTTCTTACCTGGAATGTAATTTCCTTAAGGACAGGGAACATTTTGTTTTTGTCTTTGGTTCTCCACATTCTAGTGCAATATCTTGTACATATTAGATAACTTAGTAAATGTTAGATTAATTTTATTGAAGTACACTTATAATCAACCACAACAGTAACAATAGAAACTCAAATAATATTAATAAAACACCAGGCTCTCTTACTTTATGTGACTGCTGTAGAAAGACTGACAATTACTCATCAGACAAGAAGAAAATGATCAATATGTATTCTCAGAGCACATGATATGTATAAAAACTTTAACATTTTTATTTAAAGTTTTGAGTTCCAAATTCTACCCCTCCACCCTCCCTGTGAGAGTAAGCAATCAGATATAGGTTATACTTGTGCAATTATGTAAAACATTTCCATATCAGTCATTTTGAACAAGAAGACTCTAATAGAAAAAGAAAGAAAGTGAAAAATAGCATGCTTCAGTCTGTGTTCATGCAATATAGGTTCTTTCTCTGGAGGTGGATAGTATACTTCTACATTAGTCTTTTGGGATTGTCTTGGACCATCGTATTGCTGACAGTTGCTAAGTCATTCCCAGTTCTTCACTGAACAATATTGTTGTTACTGTGTACAGTGTTCTCCTGGTTCTGTTCACTTCCCTATGCATCAGTTCATGTAAGTCTTTCCAGTAGACCCACATTTTACAGAGCAGTAGTAAACCATGACACTAGATATGTGCCATTGGGTTTATTAATCCACTGAAAATAAGTTAACCTCTGAAATGGCTAAGGTCCAAGAGTGGAATCAAAAGACCTCTATGGGTGACATGAATTCAATATGTTGCCACAGAAGCATTAAAGAAATGGCTAAGTTAATGCATCTGTGTTTACAAAAATAGAGAGGTTTATGATTGTAATATAAAACCTGTCATTGCCACTGTAAATAAAATAAAGATTGTCCTTAAAGTGCCAAGGCAATTATTTAGACTCGTCACATAAGAAAATCTGGAAACTTTACAGCATATGCAGAACATTTCATGTTGCAGAAATTTAGCATCTGATGTCAGAATTGTACTCCAGAGGTTTAATATCTATCCCTCATAAACAAGCAGAAGATTAAATAGCTTTATTATAATACAAACCCCCAAAGAATCCTTGAATTAGAAAAAAGAAACTGTCTTGGAAACAGCATTATTACAGACAGAACTATTTTACCAATGTAATATTGATTCATAAAAATTTTTAAATAGATTTCATCTTAAATATTTATAATCTTCATATAAGCGTTATATTATATAAAATGAAAAGTTTTTAAAATATTGATACCTAGTAAGACAAATCAGTACCATGTGGGGACACATATATCATTCCTGACACTGTGTGTGCCGCTGATGTTGTCTCAAAGATGCCTTCAACGAGCTTATATCCCATGCTTTTATTCAGTTACAGAAAGCAGTTATCTATCTAAGCAAAATTACGTATAGTTATTTTTGTAAAAGAACAATTCTAGGATGGCCACTTGTCCTAGAATTGTTTCTTTTCTTTTCTTTCTTTTTTTTTTAATCATTAATTTATTTTTTGTTTTTAACATTCACTTCCGTAAGATTTTGAGTTTTGAATTTTCTCTCTCATCCGTTCCTCCCCTCCTCAAGAAGGCATGCAATCTGATATGGGCTGTACTTATACATTCATAGTAAACGTATTTTCACATTAGTCATGATGTAAAGAAGAACTGGAACTAATGGGAGGTACTACAAAGAAGAAGAAGCAAAACAAAATAACAAAAGAAAAGGAGAGCAAATAGTATGCTTCTATTTGCATTCAAACTCCAAGTTCTTTCTCTGAATGTGGATAGCCTTTTCCATCTTGAGTCTTTTGGAGTTGTCTTAGATCCTTGCATAGCTGAGAAGAGCTAAGTTATCATGGTCAGTCATCATACAGTGTGGCTGTTACTGTATACAGTGTTCTGTTTCTGCTCATTTCACTCAGCATCAGTTCATATAAGTCTTTCCAGGTTTTTCTGAAGATTGCCTGCTCATCATTTCTCATAGCACAATAATATTCCGTTATATTCATTACCACAACTTGTTCAGCCATTCTGCAGTTGATGGGCATCCCTTCAACTTCCAATTCTTTGCCACCACAAAAAGAGCTCCAGCACTGTTTCTGTTTGTAATCCATCCACGAAGATGAGAAGTAAGAGATACTGCTGATAGCACTATTATCACTAATAGTACTACTAATAGCTCCAACCCATTGTCTGAGCCATTGGGTGAAGGCATGGGGACAGTTGCAAAGTAGGGAAATGCTAGCAGAATAATATGTAACAGGGATTGATTGGCCTGAGTCAGGTGACAATAGCTGTAAAGGCCTGTCAGGCATCCTGAGAAAATCATTGATCAGATTATAACAGCACAGTCAGTGGGATGTAGCTGCTTTTAACAGTCAAAGAATTAGATATATCAATTTATGCTTTCCTGGCTGATTCTTTTTGTAGCTGTTGTAATGATCAGCTAGCCATGGAGGACAGCAGAGCAAGTGGCACTCCTTTATGTTCTGGGACCACAAGAAATAGGACATACTAGAACAAGTAAGAAATGTGAATACCCTGCCTGCTGATAATGCTTCAGCATAGAAAGCACTGACCACAAAAGTAGACAAACTACAAATGCACATGAAATGGACTGACGCAATGAATATTTGAATTGTATGCTGGTACTATGTCATAATAAAATTGGAACTAAGGGCTTCACACTAAGGTTATTAGTGGTGCTCAGATTATACAATGATGCAGTGATGAGTCCAGGTATTTATAAATAAGAAGTAATTTCATCCATGAGTCTGGGTTAAATGAAATAAGAGAAATTGAGGAGTTACTAAATTCTGAGTAAGGAAAAGTTGAAAAACCTAAGATTTTTAGGCAATTTTAGAAGCTAAGATTATTGAAAAATTTCAAATAGGCAAAGGGACTGGGAGACTGAGCCTATGATTTCCTTGTTGTTGGAAACTCTTGGTTAAGCAGACTTCTACCAATGCAGGTTAACACTGTCTTTTCAGCATCAGGTCAGAAGAGATATTTGATCCCAGGTCTTCTTGACTCCAGGGCCAACTTTCTAGCCTTGAAAACACATTGCCTCTTATGTAACTTTAGAAATTCCACCCAAAAATGAATCAGATGGAAAAACAAACAAACAAAACTGATGTCTCAAATTATTTTTAAAAAGAGAATGGGCATACTTAGACTAGAAATTCAAAAAGTTCTTTGTGACTTCCACAGCATGAATCCAGCAATCAGACCAACTATTCTAAAATATTTTAATTCAGAAAAGTTGACTGCTGCAACCATCATGAAAGAATGCATTCTCTTACAGTATTTGATGGAAGCTATAAAAACATTTTAGGAATTGCATACAACAACCTATGCTATGGCTGTTGCCATGTTTAAGAATAATGGGTAATGCCACTAGTAGGCCTCTACCCCTAAAGAAATTTAACAGCAAGAAAAAGAAAAGGATCCATTGTATAAAAATATTTAAAGCAGTTCTTTTTATTGTAACAAAGAATTGAAAACAAAAGAGGCACAGACAAATTGGGGAATGACTGAACAAATTATATTATCTAAATATAAGGGTGTATTAGTGTACCATAAAAACTTAGAAACCAGGGAGGAACGGTATGAACTAATATAATATATATTACATATATTATATATTTATTATTATATAATAATAGCATTATAAAGAAAAACAGTGATGAAGCATGCTACTTACTTCCTGAGAGAAAGGAGTGATGGTCACAAGGTTCAGAATGTAATATGCTTTTGGACGTGGCAAATGTATGGATTTGTTTTGCTTTACTCTGTGTGTGTGTGTGTGTGTGTGTGTGTGTGTGTGTGTGTGTGGAGTGTGTATTTCTATTTCTCACTGGAGGTAAAAAAGAAATCAGAAATAGGGTTGCCAAAAACAAAAGAAGAAAAGAAAGAAAAGAGGGGCATCAAAGCACATGAGTAGGATACAGAAGAAAGGTGATGGAGGTTCAAAGGGAAACAGACATGAGTAGGATAGCTGGGAAAGCAACACGGCAGTCAAGTTATATGCTTCTTTTTTAAAAGCTATATGTGATAGAGATTCACAGTTTCACATATTATCCTCTTTTTCTGTTCTACTTTATATATAGAAATTTTTATTTTTTTCTGTTCATAGAGATCAGAATAAAGAAAATAATCATAGTAGGAAAGATGGAGTTATCATTCAATACTCCTGAAGATAGGCATCAAATAGCATCATGGCAGAAGTGACCCAAGAGAGCCATTGAAAGTTTGGTCAAACAATGGAAGATTGCCATAGTATTTGGCTAGCACATATGATAGAAAACCTGAGCATAATATTTGGTTTTCAATTAAAGGCAACAAAAGAAACACAAATGGAATTTAAAAAAACTAAAGTTTGTCAAGAATTCTAGACTTCCTTAACTGTTTGACTGTTAAGGCAATATAATGAATCAAAGGTGCACACATAAGAAAATCAGCAATTCTATATCAATCAAATACAGAGTCTTGTGAAGCCAAGAAATTAGAGCAGAGAGAACTCCCAGAAAAGCAGACTGTGAAATATTTTTGGTTGTCTGTATGGTTACAGGTAACCCAAAGCAATGAAAAAAAAAGTTTTATTAATTGAAAAATAGAAAGCTTTCATGAAATTAATGTAATGAAGACATCAAGTAACTTAAAATACACTCTACCTTTTCAGGTCAATATAACATCTAAACTTACTGATTCAAACACTTGACAGTAGCACATGAATTACTAATAAGACATTTTTACCAGCTTCCTCTTGAACATGAGCCTGGTCCACATTTAAACATTTAATAAACATTTGTTGACTGACTGATACATGAATATATGGACTATTATTGTGGAAATGACTTCTAGTTAAGGTGGAAGCATGAACAATTGTAAAGGAACTCAGTTCTCTCACATATGTTTTATCAGTGACTAGGGAAGCCCCAGGAAGGACAGAAGCACAAAACAGCACCTTCACTCAGAATTGCCAACTTCAGGGCTCTAATCTGGGTCAATGGACTTCTGAGCAAAGGCACACCAAGGGAGGTGGAAGCCAGCAATAGCAGTCCTGGAAATTTAGGCCATTTCCCAACAGGGACTGACCAACCCCATCCAAGACTCTGGGAAGTGGCAGAAGACTTGGTCCAGAATCCCAAATCAGCAGCTGAGACTAGGTATAAGAGTAAAAGCAAAATATGGATGAAGAGATTCCCAGGAGGTAAACTTATAAGAGCACAATTTCACAAGGATTACAAGAGTGCCTGAAAGAAGTTATTTAAGTGATTAAAAGATGACATAAAGTCTCTGGAGGGAAAAAAGTCTGAAGGAGAATGAAGAGTGAATTATTACTGTTCATGTAAGAAAAAGTTAATATAATGAAATCCATGGAAAGACTTAAATGAATTTATGTCAAATATAATAAGCATATTTGCTAAAATACTTAGCATAATAACTATAACAATGTAAATGTAAATAACAGTAACAACATGACAATCTAAATGGAATACTGTGAAATTATAATGACTAAGATTAGCCCAAAAGATGAGATATGAAAAGGCAGCCTCTCCCCTCTTCTTTGTATATTTTGGGGGTGATAGATGTTGGATAGTACGGATTATTTGTGAACTTATGCACACTGAATTCTGATTTGATGTCTTAGTTTCGCTGTACTTTTTCCTCCTGTATTTGTTGTTGAATGGCTTTCTGGGAGGTATAAGAGAGGGAAACATTGAGTGATAGAAAAAGAAAATATATCAATTTGATAACAGTATGATTTCAGTTGTGGTATAGGGAACTCCCAGTATTCTTCATTATTGTGGTCTCTCCCTCTTTTGGGCACACTTTCAATATAAGGTAAAATTTCCTTGAATACTAAATTTCCTTTGAACATCTTTAGTTTCAAACTTACTTGTTCATTGTTAACGAAATTGTTGTTTAGTACTACATATACAAATCTATTTGACCATTTTGCATTTTTAAAGTTGATAATTACTTTTTACATGTAGTATTTGGATTTGTGGCTTCAGAACTTCTCTCCTATAATAGTCTGTTTACTTTGGGAGGGTTCTGTTTGCTCTGCTCTCTCTTGCTAATGTATCTGAAGATAGTCCTTTAGAACTTAATAAAGAATAAATCACAGTTGCCTATATCATGAAATTACCATTTAGTTTGGCACTTTATACTTTTTGCTAAAATTTTTTTCTTGCATTTTAGGAGAAGTTATTGTCTAGATCTCTTCAAAGGGGTGAAGATCTTCAGTTTGACCAGGTAGGTGGATTTTTTTTAAGCCATGACAATTTTCCTAAGGATAGACTATCTAATGGCCTAGTGTAGTTAAATTCAGCGTTAGCAAATTCCTTCTGTTATCTTAGCTTGAAATGTGTGTTATTTCCTGCAGTGTTCTCATCCTCTTAACCATGAGATTTCATTCTAGATGGCTTAGTTTTTAGCAATAACTAGAGCATCCTCTGCTTGAGCTATCTGTTGATTTCAATTCAAATGGATTCTGCAATTCCTGTTCAGAATAACTGGGAGGTTATTACATTGTGTTTAGCAAGCCTTTTAGACTTGTCATTTTTCAGATGGTTTAAATTTATTTCTCAATTTCTCCTTATGTAAACTTTCAATAACTTTAGTCTTTAAACATTTATCTTATTTTTTTCCAATTTTTCTTAGTGATGGGTAATCAGAACTGTATATCAGCTCTCCCACAATGATAGATAATCATTGCTATGCTTCTCTGTCTAGTTTTCTTTATACTTCCTTACCCTTAATATCAAAATTTATTAATTTTTTGATATACATTACTTCCCTCCAGTGAACATCACTATATAGTTTTATAAACAATTTTCTAGTTATTTTCTTATCTTGTTTTTTTATGAATCTATTTTTGATTTTGCATTTATGGTTTACAATGCTTTAAAAATACTAGATTAGCATTCTGCTTCTACTAAGTATGCTTGAGATGCGTCTACATACTATCACTATGTATTTAGGAAATGCAAATTAATGTCAGTGTTTTTTAAGCAAAACATAACTGTATAGTTTAAATCTATTGCTGACTTCTACCTTCTCCATACATAATACAGTTCAGTTCCAACTATAATAATGCCTTTACAGCTCAGGCTTTCCATATTTTATCTCACATTCTCTCTATGACTAATCACATCCTTTTCTGGCCATACATGCCCTTCATGACTTTTTTAATGCCAGTTGTCTTGTGCAAGTCATCATTGGTCACCTGTTTCATCCTTACTGATGTGTAGAATTTGTCTTTCCAATGTCCTTTTGAGTAATTCACATTTTCCAAAGAGTTTTGTGATTCAGTCATATGGCATCACTGTGAGAATATTAGTTTTAAAGATGAGGCTGGACATTTGTAATAATGAGTATTGTGTCATGATAAAGTGGAAATAGTGTGCTGGATTCAGAATCAGAGGACTCGAATATGGCACAGCTTACTACCTCCATAATCTTGGGCAAGTCACTTAAAACTCTTGACCTCAGTTTTCTCATCAATAAAATGCAGGAGTTGGAGATGAAATGCTTATCAGATTTATAGAAAACATAAAATTTGAACTGTTAGCTAATAAAATGATAGAAATTCAAAAAGATATTAATAAGTTCGAATATTGGGCTGAATCTTTTAAGATGAATTAGAACTGAGACAAATGGAAAAACTTAGACTAAACAAAATCAACATTGTAAGTAAAATTTGACTGACTTTGTGTGGCTATATATTGGAGGTTTTCAGAGGCCTCAGTCAGTCATTACTGTGATATAGCAGCCAAACTGCTAATTCAGTTTCAGGTTCTTTTAGGAAAGCTATCATAGTTCCTAAGACTTGGGTGTTGTGATAGATATGTCTGTCTTGGTCAAATTGTCCCTGGAATATTGTGTTCTGTTCTGTACTCTAAGTTATAAGAATTATTTTCATAAGCTGGGGGGGGGGGGGTCAGGAGGATATAGAGCAAATATAGTGCATGAGATCATGCCATAAGAGGATCAGTTAATAGTCATATTTAGCTTGGAGGAGAAAAGACTTAGGGGGGCACATGATCAGTCAGTCAACAAGTGTTTATTAAGCTGCTATAGAAACTATACTTAGTACTGGGGCTACAAAGAAAATGAGACATTACTAACTATCAAGGTTATGGTCCTTCATAGGGAACAATATTTACATAGATACAAAATATTCCCCAGGCAATGAGAGGAGAAGGCACTCTTATCAAAAAAGATCATAAAGGTTGCATGTAGGAGGTGATGTTTAAGGTGAGCTTTGAAGGAAGTTATGGATTCTGAGAAGTCAGATGAGAAAGGATTGCATTCAGGAATAAGTGATAAAGCCTGTACAAAGGCATGAATGGTGAAAGGCAAGTAGTCTAGTTTGGCCATGGTCTCTAGAATGTGTACAGGAGAGTAATGTGTATTGAGGCTGGAAAGATAGATTGGAATAGGACTGGAAATGTTTTGAATGCCAAACAGTAAATAACCGAGAGCTTCTTGAGCAGAAAAGTTATGTGGTGAGGTTTGTACTTTAGGAACAGCTGTTTAAGAGCTAAACAATTGGAGAAATATTACTTGCTTAGGGGTAGGTCAAGTTAATATAATAGAAATGACAATTTTGCCTAAATTAATTTATTTATTTAATATCATAATCAAACTACCAAAAATTATTTCATAGAGCTAGAAAAAGTAATAAAATTCATCTGGAATAACAAAAAGTCAAGAATATCAAGGGAATCAGTGATGTGTAGGAAGGTAGCCTAGCACTACTAGATTTCAAACTATATTACAAAGTGGTAATCATGAAAACAATCTGGTGCTGGCTAAGAAATAAAGTGGTAGATTGGTTGAATAGGTTAGGTACTACAATATACAGTAGTAAATGACTGTAATATTTTAGTATTTAATAAACTCAAAGATCCAACTCACTATTTGACAAAAATTGTTGGGAAAACTAGAAAGCAGTTTGGCAGAAAGTAAGTATAGACTAACATCTCACACCTTATACCAAAGTAAGGTCAAAATAGGCATATAATTTAGACATGAAGGGTGATAGCATAAGTAAATTAGGGGAGGATGAAAAATTTTGCCTGTCAGATCTATGGATAATGAAAGAATTTATGACCAAACGTGATAGAGAGGATCACGAGAAGTAAAATGGATAATTTTGATTCCATTAAATTGAAAAGGTTTTGCACAAACAAAACCAATGCAGTCAAGATTAGAAGAAAATGGAAAACTGGAAAAAAATAGTTGTACAGCAGGTTTTCTCTGATAGAGGCCTCATTTCTCAAATACATTGGAAACTGAGCCAAATTTATAAAAATAAGAGCTGTTCTCCAATTAATATGATCAAAAGATATGAATAGGCAGTTTTCAGAAGAAGAAATCAAAGTTATCAGTAGTCAGTCACATTTTAAAATCACTATTGATTAGAGAAATGCAACTTAAAACAATCTGAGGTACCACCTCACACCTATCATATTTACTAAGATGACAGAAAAGGAAAATGACAGATGTTGGAGGGAGTATGGGAAAATTGGGACACTAATGCACTGTTGGTGGAATTGTGAACTGATCCAGCTATTCTGGAGAGCAATTTGGAATTATGCCCAAAGGACTATAAAACTATACCCTTTGATTCAGCAATACCATTACTAGGTCTGTGTCCCAAAGAGATAAAAAAAAAACAAAAAGGAAAAAGACCTACTTGTATGAAAATATTTATAGCAGCACTTTCAGTGGTGGCAAACAATTGGAAATTGAGGGGATTCCCATCAATTGGGGAATGGCTGAAGAAGTTGTGATATTTGATTGTGATGGAATGCTATTGTGCTATAAGAAATGACAGCAAGATGGTTTTAATAAGACCTGGGAAGACTTATATGAACTGATGCCGAGTGAAGTGAACAGAACCAGGAGAGCATTGTATACACTAACAGCAGTATTGTATGATGATCAGCTGTGAGTGACTTGGCTTTTCTGATCAATGCAATGATCTAAGACAATTCTGAAGAACTTAGGATGAAAAATGCTCTCCAGTTTCAAAGAGAGAACTGATGGAGTATGAGTGCAGATTGAAGCATAATTCACTTTATTTTTCTTGTTTTTTTTTTTCTTCACATGGCTAATTTGGAAATATGTTTTGCCTGAATTTCATATGTGTAATTGCAATCACATTTCTTACCTTCTCAGTGGGTGGGGTAGGGGCAGACAGGAGGGAGAAAATTTGGAATTATTAAAAAAGGATGTTTAAAATGACTAGCAAATTTATTTTTGAAAAATAAAAAGGTATAACAGCTTGATAGTTGTGTGGGAATTGATTAGAGAAGAGAGACTGGAGGCAGGGAATTTAATGAACCCAAGTAGAACTTTCAATATTGTTTTGTAATATTGATAGTAAATATATCATCTTTCCAGTTGATAAGCTCTATGAGCTCAGTAGCAGAGCACTGTCTCCCATCCTTACTTCGCACCTTGTTTGACTGGTATAGACGTCAAAATGGAACTGAAGATGAATCATATGAATATAGGCCCCGATCTAGCACAAAATCTAAAGGGTAAGTTTTTTTGCTTGTTTGTTTTGGGTTTTTTTTTTAATGTCTACCAAATCCATGCTATTATTTTAAAGAACAGTTTGCTTTGGTAGTAATATAAATATACTATTAGCACTGAGTAGTAAAAATATTTATCTTTATTTGATTAGAATTTCATTCATTTAAAATTTTCATTATATTCTGAATTATTGTTTTAGGGATGAACAGCAACGTGAAAGAGATTACCTACTTGAAAGGAGAGATTTAGCTGTAGATTTCATTTTTTGTTTAGTTTTAGTAGAAGTTCTGAAACAGGTAAGCTCTTATTTTTGTGAACTCTTGTTTTAAATTTTTGCAATAAAATCTATATGTTTTAATTATATATTTAGAGTTTTATAGCTATTATGTATTTAGCCTGTGATATAATTAATTTTTTTATTGGTTTGAAGCTTATATACCCTATATTCTTTACTGTCTATCATTCTTTGTCATGTATTGTATCATGTTGTATTTTAAATCTCTCATCTACTAAAGCAGGCTTATTCACTATCTGAGGCCTAAGTACAATCTGTCATCCACATACTTTTCTCCTTTCTTCTTTAATCCAAATCTATACTCCCAGGTGCCCTTTTTACTTCCAGTTCCAGCTACTCTTCCACAGTGCCTCTATGGTTGGGTTCTTTTTTTTTAAAAATGGCATTAAAATACATCTGTTGAAAATTTTAAAATGAAATGTAGGATGATTTAACAGTCTGTGATTCAGTTTACTTTTTTGGTATATTGCCAATATGAAAACTTGTTTTTTTGAATGATATTTTTGAAAAGGTAGTTATTCAAAGAACAGTTTAAAAGTTATAAACATAAAAAGTCTTCATTCTAAATACACAAAATGTTTGCATTATCTCAAAAGTAACGAATATGGAAATAACCACAATGTATGTAAAAAAAAGAATAGAATCAAATGTTTCCCAAGATGACTTATAACATATCAAGCCATAGTTAGTTGTTACTTACATTATTCAAGATTCTTTTATGGTCAAAATTCCATTGTTAAATTTTAAAGGGCATTTCTATAAGAGCTGTTAATTGTCATAATAGCTGTCAAAACAAAACTTTTTCATAAGGTTTCTAAAACCAATTTGAGCTATGTCCTTTTTCACCTGGTCCGGTTGGATTCCCAAAATCCTAGGACTAATTAGGGATGGATGAGAGGTAGTACCCTAGACCATTAGGAAGGGTGGTCCTAATCAAGGTTTGGGGGAAATGATCCCGAATCTCTTGTGCCCTAGCCTATTTTTATGTTTGGTTGGTAACCAAATTTCAGATTATTTTGATCAGCTAAACAACCATCGAATTCTAACCGGGAAAAATCAGATGAGAAAAACAATACGTTTTGTCAGTTCTTAACAGTTCTGGTACTAATTTCCCAACATACCTGATAGTTGATTGACATGTTAACATTTGTTCTTCTGCACTAGCTTCCAGATTCCAAACATATTTATTTTTATATCACTGCTTTAAAGATAGCTAGCTCTGCTGGAGGAAAATACCAGAATATATAGTACTTCATACATTCAGCTCATATAACTGCACTGTATTCTTTAAGGTGTCATTCATTGAATCCCTTCGGTTCATACTTTATGGGGAATCAGGAGGTAGGAAGTGCAGGATATAGATGATCTATGAAATGTGATTTCTCTTGTTCGTTTTATTGTTTCTGGCTGTCAGTAATCACATAATTCAGTCCAGCCCTGTGTACCTTCTACCCAGCAATGCCTATCTCTGGCATTCTTAACCACACATTGGAAAAATCCATCCCAGTTGGAACTTAAGTGATTAAAGGAAATAACAGTTTTCTTTATTAGTTTTCAAAGTGAATGAAATTGAACAGGACTAAAAAGTAAATAAAGTTTTTGAAAAAGTTGTCAGATGTTAACATAATAACTTTCAATACGATTCAAACTTTGAGAGATTAAGGAATAGCATAAATTTAATCTAACTTTATTTTAATAAGTTCTTTACTTTAATTCTACATGATATACCTAAATGAAATGATGGAAAATTTGATTTTGAGTTAACTAAGAGTGCTAGTCCCATAGAGTAATTATAAGTACTCCTGTTCTATTCTTATTAAAATTCAGTGCTACTGATATATGGAAGCACATTGTAAAATTAGATAAAAATTTTTTTGACAATTTATTTGTTTTGAAGAAGATGATGTTCAAAAGGGAATATTCTTTAAGAACATAATATAAATTGTAAATGACTCAAGACTATGTTTTTAAAGTATGGTTAGAAAAATGTGCTCTGGGCAGTCATAGTAGAGCATAATTAAACATGCTTAGCAAAGTAGTGCCATAATATTAAATCATTATGGTAGGTTATAAATTGTAGTATGAGAGAATTATCTCTATATATCCAGCATTGATATTTTTCTACTTTTTGAGAATCTGTACCATAAATACGAAACCTCTAATCTGTGGGTGAGATTTGGCCTTTGTCCTAATTTTATCTTTGCTATGGGAAGTTTACTGGCAAATGATGCTGTTTATGACCTTGCATGAATTAGTTATCCTCTCTATCCTTCATTTTCCATGTTTGTAAAGTGATGGAGTTGTAGTAAATGATACTTACAATCTCTTCATGTTTTGAAATCCCCAGTCCATTGCCAAATACCATTGTTTCTAATTTCACAACATATCTTGTATAGGTTGCCTTCTCTCTAGTCATACAGTATTAACCCTATTTTAGGCTCTCTTCAATTCTTGCCTGAACTATTACAATATTCTTCTCGCTGTCCTCCCTTCCCCAAGTCATTCCTCATTCTAGTCTATCTAACATTCAGCATAAGTCTGACTGTCTCACTACCTTACTCAATGCTATAGTGACTCTCTGTTACCTCCCGGATTGAATATAAAGTCCTGTATTTGGCATTTAAAGCTTTCCTTAAGCTGGCCTCTTCCTACCTTTCCAGTCTTCTCACCACTTATGTACTCTGAATTTCAACTATACTTGCTTATTTGCAGTTCCTCAAACATGACACCAAATTTCCTGTCTCTGTGTCTTTGTCTTGACTATTTTTCATCCCTGTAGTGCTCTGTTCCCTCACTTCCACCCCTGGTTTCCTTGGCTTCCTTCTTGACTCATCTCAGATCTCATCTTCTTCTGCAGGAGGCCTTTCCTGGTCCTTTCCACTGCTGGTACTTCCCTCTGATATTAGAAGGGGGAGGGAGAAAAAATAAAGGATCTGTGTGGTTGACTGTTGTAGAGTATCAGTAACAGTTACCTGATCTATCCTTTTAGTAGATTGACATGCTTGTATTGTTTAGAATAAAATACTGCATATTTAGGATGAGTGAATCAAACCCAAATTTGTCACCATTTTGGGGGTATAATTTGATCCTAAATCTTCCACATGATTTTTTCCCCCTTAAACCTAGTTAAACTACTCCTCAGACAAAAGACCTAACAGACATACCTTCCATCATTTTGGAAGCTTTTTAGCTTGGGGAGGGCCTGACAGAGTTTGTACTTTTCCACCATAATTTTTTATGGACACAGGGGTCACCTCCACATAACAGTGACATATCAGAGTAGGATTTTGGTGAAGTCCTGTACAACACTGTCTTTTTAAATACTGATTCCTCGAATTGATAGTCTAGGAACCCAAAAGGAGTTGACTCAGGTTTTAGCCTTGAACTGTTATAAGAAGTGACTTGGGAAAAACTACTAAATAATAATTTTACAACTATATTTATGTAGGGCTTTGTAGTTATAAAGTACTTTTATGTGCATATCTCCTTTGATCCTCACAACTCATATAGAATTTCAAAATTAAAAAGAACCTTAGAGATCATCTAGTCCAACCTGTGTCTGAACAATTCCATCCATAATATCAGTAACCAGTGATCACAAGACGTCCATTATGGGGCACGAGGCTCCTGAGGCAGCATGTTGTACTTGTGAAGAACTCAAATTTGGGGGAGGGGGGTTAGTAGACAGACATGTAGATAAAGAGGAGTAGATGGATTATAAACAAGTTAGACTTTAAGCTTTTGATTAGGTTATAAATGTAAATGGTTATTTAAAAAATTGAGTCACCATTGGATTGAATTTTTCCATGGTCTTAAAGACAAGAAACAAGAGTTAAAAACAAAAGGTTACTTTTCCCCATATATGAGCCAGTTCCTCAGTGATCCATGGTAGGAAAGTTCTTTTTAAAATATCTTTATGGGGCAGCTAGGTGGCACAGTGGATAGAGCACTAGCCTTGGGGTCAGAAGAACCTGAGTTCAAATCCAGCCTCAGACACATAACATTTACTAGCTGTGTGACCCTGGGCAAGTCACTTAACCCCCATTGCCCAACCAAAAAAAACGAAATATCTTTACGAAGGACTAGAGGAAGGTTGGGCATTGTAAATAGCTTAGTAGTCTGTTGATTGCACTTCAGCCTTCTGGGTAATTAAAAGCCATTATGATAGGGATAGACTCTAGGAAAACTTAATGAGTCTGGTAGAGAAGTGACTTGCAGATATAATTTTTGTCTTTTAGCACAAGGCAATGCATTTATGTAGCAGTAATTCAAACTCTAAAATGAAAGTCTCTGAGCTGTCATTTAGAAACCAGGCATGGGAAGTAGGAGTCATTGTAGATTGTTCCCAATGTTCTGAAATAAAAAGCCAATATAAAACGTGATGAAGAAATGTATTGGAAACAAAACAGAATATATGCACTTAACACTTTAAAAAAATTGGAATGTTTCCACACCTATATACTCTGTGCATTTTTTGGTTACCTTCTTCAAGAAAGATACCATATCTTAGAGAATGTTCAGAAAATGGCGATTTGAATGATCAGGAAGGTCATTGGGATTCTTTAGTTTGGAAATAGGAAGACTGAAATGGATGATATTCAAATGTGTCAAGTCTTGAGCATCATGGACAGGGTGAGCATATACTTGTTACTGGAATTCAATGTTATTGGAATATGGGGAAATTTGATCAAGGTAGGATTAGGACAAATTAGTCAAAGTAATACGTTCATGTAGCATGCAATAAACTTAGGAATATCTGTACCACAAGGGATAGTTTCTGAAAGAAATGTAAATGGATTAAAAATATGGATAAGCTGACATTTATACTATATTTTGAGAGGATGCTCAGTGCTTTACATGCAAAGACCTCTTTTTATACTCACAATAATCCTGTGAGATATAAGTACTACCAGTATAATTATCTCCCTTTGACAAAAAATAAAGCAGGATTAGAGAATCTAAGTGATTTCTCCTTGGTCGCATAAGTAGTAAGCAGAAGAGTCAGGATGTGGCCTTTCTGCATTGAATTCCAGCACTTCGTTTATTATGCTATATGGCCTTAAGAGTGGCTCCTATAAAATAAATATTGTTTCATTCAACCCAAACCTTAATTATCCCTTTGGCAACTCTTCTCCATCACAAGCACTTGGTAAATCCTGATTGATTTTAGACATCGGGAAAGACCACAGTGACTTATCTCACAGTTCAGTTCTTTGGGCTGTTGTAGTTAGTGAAAATACCAGGCTAAATAGACTATGTATAGTACTGTATTGCAATTCTTACATTCTCATATGAGTAACATTGAAATAAATGTAGTGTGGTTTCTCTATTGTTGATATTGTTTAGATGCACACCACTTGGCTCTAATGATTTTTTTATAATTTTGAGGAACCTTAGCTTAAGTTTAAAGTTAAATCAATCACAGCATTATGAAATAATAGAAAAAATAATGTACAAATTAATCATTAACTGCATGATATGGATCCTGATGAAAGATTTCAATTACATTGTCATTAAAATGTTAGAAATAATCTAACGAACAAATTATTAGGATTTTTTTGTTTATTGAATTAGATACTTTTCCTTCCTTAGATTCCTGTTCATCCAGTGCCAGATCCCTTAGTTCATGAAGTTTTAAACTTGGCTTTTAAGCACTTTAAACACAAGGAAGGGTAAGTCAAATGTTTATCTCAATTATTGCTGTTCTTATCAATCTGAGTTTTGATAGTTAAAAAGAGAGAGATTTGTATTTGTATAAGCAATTTTGTTTTAGAGATCAAAGTTTATGGTCCAAAAGACTTGTTGAATACAAATTACATTTACAAGAAATATTTTATAAAGAATTTCTGATGGGATTGGGAGTGGGGTGGGGAAGGATACCTCAATAAAAGCGAGACATGCTTGGCAAAGTTGTAGAGATACAAAAATAATACATATTCTTATTCTCATCTTGAGTTTTGGGTATCTTGTAACGTTTGCCTTACTGTCGTCCTGGAAGGGAATTTGAAATTGATTTTGGGTTCAATAAAAAGAAAAAACTAGACAAATTTAAAGTGTTCTTCTTTGATAATCCAAGGAAAAAGAGTGAAAAGATACTTCTAATACTTTACCACTTTAATTGAGTTTTCAAAATAGCAAGAATTATTTGAGGAAAATTGCACTATATAAATAAAATTATGTAATACTTTTATTGTTTTCATATGTTTTTAATTGCTTTAGGTATTCAGGAACCAACACTGGGAATGTGCATATTATTGCAGATTTATATGCAGAAGTGATAGGGGTTCTTGCTCAATCAAAGTAAGTTTTTTTTAATCACTTTGATCTTAATTTTCTTTGGTTCCATTTTCAGGTTTTTTAAGAAATTCTTTTCAGTAAAAATTTTTTAACAATTATGTCATGCAGATCCACTTTGAATTTTTCCATAGTATTGTGAATTAGTATGCAGTCTGTCCTTTTTTGCTTCTTGGCTTTTCCATTCATTAGATTATGTATAAATAATACCCATGCAGAATAAACTTTTCACCACTTTTGTCCTCTAATTTTGGTTAACTGCCAGTATCTATCCATAGGAAGGCAAGAATAGGTATTTACATTAAAGATTAGATCTTATACCTGAGCAGTTGTGTAAAAAAAAAAGGTTATACAGATTTCTTTTTTAAAATGTTCTAATGATCTGGTAATTGTTTTGTATGGTTTTCCAGTGAAATCTGACATGATTTGACTCACGTGATTATTGTGAAATGAGTCAAATAAAGAATTTCTAAGTGGCCTTTATTTGATCTGATAACCAAGAGAACTTTGAGTGAGTTGAGAGGCTATGAAAGGATAAAAGGAAGAAAAGGGTTAGTCTTCAGCCCATATTGTTCTTTAAAGAAACATCATTGTCATCATTGTAATCAGCAACAGCAATAAATTTGTATTGAGCATCTGCCTATAGTATTTTGAGGCAAGTCCATGGTGAGTAAATGAATCACAGGGAAATTAATGAAGAGAAATCACATGTCACTTGATGTCGTATGAATTAGTCAGACATTGTTTCCTCTGACAGTTTTTCAGCTGGATTAGTTGCACAGACAAATTAAACAAGCATTTATCAATTGTTGAGGTAGAGAGAAAAGTATTAAAGATTTATAGCCAGATTGCTAGATGACTTTTTTTGAAGACATAACAGAATAAATTGGAAGTAATATCTTTTGCTATTTGACTTTCTGTTGGGTAGTATTAGTTGTTCTCTGATATAGTGAAGGGCAAAGTCAAAATTCTGGTAATCCATAAGTTAATATTATGTATTTATTATTGGTTTGTTTTGTATTCTTAGTGCACTAGGATTTTAGCTTCATAAGATGCAAGACCAATGGTTTCTTCTTTATGATATGATAATATAATCAGTCATTTAGTATTTATTAGTAAGATAACATGGTGCTTCAGGTAGAGGACTAGCCTTTCAGATGGGAAGACCTGGGTTCAAGCCCTACCTCTGACATAGACTAGTTCTCGTTATCGAAGTCTAGGTAAGTTTTAAAGAATTATGCAAGGTTTGTGATAAGCACTGGGGATACCAAAGAAAAATGAAAAATAGTTGTTGGCTTAGAGCTTGTATGCTACTAGGAGAAGGCGGGAATCATTGAGGATACAGTATTTATATAAATAACTTAGCTAATGATAATCTGAGGAGGTTGTTTGAATTAAAAATTAAGGAATTCAGTAATGATTTTCTATAGGAAGTGGGTCATAAATTATTCCTTGAAGGAAGCTGAGGATTCTAAAAGTTCGAAGTGTGGAGGGAGTACAGTACAATAAATAGCCTTGGCAAAGGCACAGAGAAGATGGAATGCAGAGTTTGGTAAAGAGCAGTTTGGTTGAAGCATAAATTATTTATGGGGAGTATAACATGGAAAGGTAGGGTGTAACCATGTTGAGGTTGAGCCTTAAATGCCAGACTGAGGAGTTTGTATTTTACCCTGGAGGCAGTAGAGAGCCATATAAGGATCTTGAGCTGGAAAGAGATATGTTAGACTTGTGCTTTAAGATTATTTTCGCAGTTTTGTGGATGATGGTTTTTAGAGGGGAAAGAACAAAAGCATGGAGACCAATTAGGAGGTCCTGTTGTATTTTAGGCTAGCGGTGACACACACAAGCTGATAAATATCTGATGCTGCTGGTTTATATAAATGGAGCTAAGGAGGGAGATGCAAAAGATGCCGTGCAAGTGCAGTTGACGTAACTTGGCCGCAGATTCGATATGAGAGAATGAAGAGTCAAGAATTAGTCTGAAGTTGTGAACCTGTGTGATTAAAATTTGTGGGGTCTTCATCAGGAACAGGGAAGTTTAAGGGTTGTTTCAGAGGGGAAGATAATGTGTTCTGTTTTGACTGGGTTGAGTTTGAGATGCCTACAGGACACCCAGGGGGTGTTATCCATTAGGTAACTTCTGAAGCAGGACTAGCACTCAGGAGAGACTAAGCAGTGTTAAGCGGAAGAAACAGTCGCTAAAATACAGAATTAGGCGTTTTTGCCTGTCATAAAACAAGCAAACCCAGAAGCTAATTTTTTCCCCCGTGGGATGCTTTTTATACTTGTGATAGTGATGTTTAGAGAAGTTCTGATTATTAACTTCTAATTACAAATAACTTTTTATTTCTGTCTTAAAACCCTATATAATATATTTATAATTTCAATCATAAATTTGAACAAGCTGAAAAATTCCCTGTAACCTAGGTTTCAGGCTGTGCGGAAGAAATTTGTAACTGAATTGAAGGAGCTGAGACAAAAAGAACAAAGCCCACACGTAGTACAAAGTATCATCAGTTTAATAATGGGGATGAAATTTTTCCGAGTGAAAATGTATCCTGTAGAAGACTTTGAAGCCTCATTTCAGTTCATGCAGGTAATACTACTATTCAGTTTAACAGCTCATCTTTCTGCTCTTCAAAATATTTATTTTTAATATATACACATTAAGAACTAGGTTTCAAGGGAAAGAATAATTTTGTTTTCTTCCATGAACTACAGTGACGCGTTAATGTGCATGAAAGTCAAGTTTTTTTGCATAAAGAATAATTGTTATTTAAAATTTGGATATACTTGGATCTTTTATCATGTTACTGATATTTCTGAAATAGCCTTGAGAAATGGAGTAAATATATTTTAAAAACCACTCCACAATCTCTGTAATATTATTACAGTTAAGAGTTGAGTGTATGTCATTTTGTTTTAAGATTTTTTTTTTCCTTAAGGAATGTGCTCAGTATTTCCTTGAAGTAAAAGATAAAGACATTAAACATGCACTTGCTGGTTTGTTTGTGGAGATTCTCATCCCTGTGGCTGCTGTAAGTATTTTTTGTTATTTTTAAATTCTACTTTAAAAGCACTCACATTCATGAAATCACTCCATAAAATGCTCTTATTGACAGTCTTGCAAATAATTGGACTAAGTAAAATTTAAACATAGTATCTTTTTAGGATAAAAGTAATATTTGAATTTGAAGGAAGTGATACAGTGATAACACCATTCAGAAGTTTCTTAATACTTCTCTCATATTTTTGCCCCCTTCTTCCCTTGTCTGAATACTCAGCCACCCACCCCAAATCATCTAGGATTCAAGGAAGACCACAATATCTACAACTCAGTAGTGCCAGTAGTCACATAATCCATTGCATTTGCCTGTGACTTTTGCCCCTCAACAAAGTAGTGGGCCATTTTAATAATCTCCAGAGAATATTCTAAAGCCCTCAACTACTAATATGGAAATTATTCTCATTATTGTTAGGTTATATTTAAATATAAAGCTGATTTTGTAATTTTTGTTAGTATGTTGTAACCAGTACAAACAGCAATTATGAGATTAAAAAAACTGCTGATTTTAATATTTTTAATGCCCGGCTGTACTTCACAATTTGTTCAGTTTGCCTTTTGTTGCAAACTTTCAGCATAATCTCTTAAGTTGCACTTTCATTTCTTTTGATATAAATTTCTGCAATAAAACTGTAAAATTTTTTTTCACCTAAAATACTAGATTTTCAAAACTTTACTGTAATAACAATAGCTAGCATTTATATAGTACTTTAAAGTTTACAAAGCATTTTACATATGTGAAGTCATTTGTTCTTCACGACAACCTTGTGAGGTAAGTTGCTCTTATCCCATTTTATATTATAGGGGAAACTGAGGTATAGAGAAGTTAAATGACTTACCCAGGGTTACATAGCTAGTTCACTGAGGCAAGATTCAAGTTCAAGTGTTCCCAGCTCCCAAGTTTTGTGTTCTGTCCACTGCACCACCTTGCTACTCCAATTTCTAATATTAATTATGATCAGTATGTGCATGTGAATGAAAAGATAATTCCATTCACATATTTAATTAAGTTCATTTGATAATCATGGTGCTGATGAGATCTAGCTTGCAAATCGAATTCCTGCTTGGACCAGACCTTGATTCTGTTTCATACCTACAGGCTATCCCAGTGCTAATCACCTCACACTGCATGATATTTCTCACAAAGGCCATACTCATGCCCTGTAAATAGTGTGTTTGTAAATAATAGGAAATACAGAATGCTATATGCACAAATATGGAAAGTAATAATAACTTTGAGGTGCTATGGAAATGCTAGGTATTAATAATGTAATGCCTTTTCACTGAATGTAAAAATAGTTCACATTTTACTTGGAGTTATAGCACTTGTTTCTGATACATAGATCTTGGTATCAGAGACAATAGCAAAAGCAAATTATAACAGTTAAGTGTTTAAAATAGTGAAGATAGACAAATTTATATGTAATATTTGATCTGAGGAGTTAGAGTTGCAAATAGGCTGAAGTTGGAGTCAGAACTATGTTTGAGTCCTATCTATATCAATTACAAGCTGAGTTTACATTTCCTGGTCCAGGAAATGGGGAGAAGAAATATTTAGCTCTCATTTCTTGCAAGACTGTTTTGAAGATTACATGAAATAATGTTTGTAAAAAGTGATTTATAATTATAAATTTCTATAAAATGTAAGCAGCTTGTTATTGTTTGCTTGTAGCTAAAATTTTGAAAGTTTTCTTAAGAAAAAATTAGTTATAAATTTTGAGATCTTAGCATAGATGGTGATGTTTGTTCCTTTTTCATTTAGTAAGTTCGGGTCATTTTTACTTTTTATTAAATAAATTCTCTTTCATATTCCAAAATGATAACACTAATCTGTTTTTAGTGAATGTACTATTAGATATAATTTCAGAATTTTAATGAATTAATTATTATTGATTTGCCCCTTTGCCCTGGTCTGGATCTACTCCTGAACAGTAGCATATGTTTGTGATACAACTGGTTAAATCTGGGGATAGGGTGAGGAAAGGCAGGGCAGTACGATCTGTGGCAGTAGAACAGAACAAAATGAACTTTCGTAGCCAAGTAGAATCAACTATTGCTCATTGGGACTGCTTGTGCTAAGTAATCAGCTCCGTTTATTAGCTGCATTTTTAGATAGTATAAAAGATAATGATTTCCCATACAAAATAATTCAGGGAGGCTTTAGTGCATTATTGCTACTTTTAAAACTATAATATGTATGTCATCTTATATAGATCACTAATCTGTTCTTTTATTCATTTTATAAATTTGTGTGTGTCTGTTTCCTAGGCCGTTAAAAATGAAGTAAATGTTCCGTGTTTGAAAAATTTTGTGGAGATGCTGTATCAAACTACTTTTGAATTGAGCTCCAGAAAAAAACATTCACTGGTACGTACAAAACATTTCTGATCTTCACATATTTGATTCATGAAATACATTATTTGTGTGAATGTTCAATAGGAAGTAAAGGGAAATGAGAAAATCGAAGGATTACAGAACAGATTCACTTCAAAAACATTTATTACAAACCTGCTTTCAGGGTGCCGTGCAAGGCTCCTTATTTATAAAAACAAACAGAAAAAAATTAAATGGTCCCTGCTGTCCAGTTATAAGTTAATGAGAGGGGAATAACACATACTCAAATATGTTAACTTGAGGAGGAAGAAAGGAGTAACATTCAAATGGTGCCCAAAGGCAAAATTCTTAAATGTGTATTGCACCTGCCTTGTCATTGTTTTGTTTTCTTTGGGTCTCTCCAAAAAGAAAGGTTAAGCAAATGGTTGTTGTTAGTTTTAATCCATACTTTAGTGAAAACTGCTTATTATTGTTTTAGTGTCTTCTAATAAGTGATTGTTCCCTCAATCTTACCTTATAACCATAAATTCTTTATATGTAGACCATTTCTTATTCTCCCCAATGTGGTATACTTAGTTTATCGTTCTACTCAGCAACTCTGATTTAAAAAAAAAAGTTTTGATAGAGATTGAACCTGTTACTTAATATTTAGTATTTTTGTTTCATAATATAAGTAGAATTTTGGTGGTGGAAAGAAACCTCACGGATCACATAATCCAACCTGTAACTGCACAGTAATATTCTTTACAACTGGTGGTCAGGATGCTATTGAAATTCTCTAGTGACAAAGGAACTTCCTATCTCTGAAGGCAATCTGTTTTACTTTTGGATAGCTTTAGTTTAAAAGTTTTTCCACATATCACTTTCTGAAACCTCTTCCCATCAACCCTAATTTTTGCTCTTGGAAAGTAAGTCTAATCCCTGTTGTGAATAATTACATGTTCCCCAAGTGTTCTCATCTCTTACCTAAGCCTTTTTTTTTCCCCCAGTCAATTGCGTGGTAGAAGATTGAGTCTCTCACTGTCCTGATTACTGTGTTACATATGCATGCACTCTAGCTTGTCAGTATTTTTCCTAAAATGGACACTCAGTGCTCCACATATGTTTTGACATAGGTAGATTACTGAAAGACAATGTCCTCTCTCATTCTGGACAGGGCCTTGATTACTGCTGTCTCTTTTGACTGTTGAATCCTACTGTTGGATCTTATTGCTTGCAGTCCACTTAAACATTTGTGTCTTTTTCATGTGAACTCTTGTCTAGCCACATTTTCCCTATCCTTATCTATAAAATGAAGGTATTGATTCTTAGAAAAGTTTTAACTTTAAAGCTCTCCTTAGAGAAGTTATCTAGCCTCATTTCCCTCTTCCAAATTTAAGACTGCATTTTGCCCTATACTAAATTTCATCTTCCCAGATTTGGCACATTGTTCCAGAGTCTTAGGATGTTTTGAAAATCAGTTTTGTTGGGAGGCAGAGCCAAGATGGCGGAGGGAAAGCAGTGACTGTCTTGAGCTCTCACCCAAAGCCCTCCAGATACCTAAAAAATGGCTCTAAACAAATTGTAAAGCAGCAGAACCCACAAAAAGACAGAGTGAAACAAATTTCCACCCAAAGACAGTCTGAATGGTTGATCAGAAAGGTATATCACACCAGGCGGGGAAAGGAGCACAGTTCAGCATGTGCGTGTAGGCTGCAGCGAACCTGCAGCAGGCCTCAGAAGGCTGAATCGCCAGCAGCTGTGGTGGTTTCCAGACTTCTCGACCCCTAAATGCCAAAGACAATTTAGAAGGTCAGTGGGAAAAGTCTGTGACTGCGGTGAGAGAGGAGCTAGGTCTCAGCTGCAAGTCTCGAGCGCAGGCCAGGGGAAGTCTCGAGCGCGGTCCAGAGCCACTTTTTCCTGAGCTTCCGGCCCACAGACTGAGGAGGAATGAAGTGGCTGATCAGAAGGGGATTGCAGGGATCTCTTTGCCAGTGCTGAGGCAGGAATCTCTTGCTTTGCCCATGCTTGGATCTGGGTCACAGTTCTGAGGGGCGGTCCTGGGGCGAGGAGGAGCGCTGGTGCGGTGGAGAGGAAACACCTCACCCCTTATCATACCACCTTGGAAGAACTGAAAATTTACAGGTCCCTAGAAGTACCTCTGGAAACAGCTGTACAAACCCCTGAAGCTTGGGACAGTACACTCTTCACATTGGAAGCAGACTTTTACTAACAAAGAGTTTAAAACTCAAGTAATTGGCCAGGATCATGAGTAAGCAGCGCAAAAAGAGTCAGACTATATTATCTTACTTTGGTGACAAAGAAGATCAAAACATGCAACCAGAAGAAGACAGCAAAGCCAAAGCTCCTACATCCAAAGCCTCCAAGAAAAATATGAATCAGTCCCAGGCCTTGGAAGAGCTCAAAAGGGATTTTGAGAAGTAAGAGAAGTAGAGGAAAAACTGAGAGTGATGAAAGAAAATCAGGAAAAACAAGTCAACAGCTTGCTAAAGGTGACCCAAAAAAATACTGAAGAAAATAACACCTTAAAAAATAGCCTAACCCAAATGGCAAAAGAGGTCCAAAAAGCCAGTGAGGAAAAGAATGCCCTAAAAAAGCAAAATTGGCCAAATGGAAAAGGAAGTCCAAAAGCTTACTGAAGAAAATACTTCCTTAAAAATTAGAATAGAGCAATTGGAAGCTAGTGACTTTATGAGAAATCAAGACACTGTAAAACAAATCCAAAAGAATGAAAAATTAGAAAACAATGTGAAATATCTCATTGGAAAAACAACTGACCTGGAAAATAGATCCAGGAGAGACAATTTAAAAATTATTGGACTATCTGAAAGCCATGATCAAAAAGAGCCTAGGCATCATCTTTCAAGAAATTATCAAGGAAAACTGTCCTGATATTTTAGAACCAGAGGGCAAAATAGAAATTGAAAGAATCCACCGATCTCCTCCTGAAAGAGATCCCCAAAGGAAAACTCCTACGAGCGTTGTAGCCAAATTTCAGAGTTCCCAGGTCAAGGAGAAAATATTACAAGCAGCCAGAAAGAAACAATTCAAGTATTGTGGAAACACAATCAGGATAACACAAGATTATAATATTCCAGAGGGCAAAGGAGATAGGATTACAACCAAGAATCACCTACCCAGCAAAACTGAGTATAATCCTGCAGAGGAAAAAATGTTCATTCAGTGAAATAGAGGACTTTCAAGCATTCTTGATAAAAAGACCAGAGCTGAATAGAAAATTTGACTTTCCAATACAAGACTCAAGGGGAACATGAAGAGGTAAACAGGAAAGAAAAAAGCATAAGAGACTTATTAAGGTTGAACTGTTTACATTCCTGCATGGAAAGATGATATTTGTAACTCATGAGACCTTTGTCAGTATTAGGGTAGTTGGAGGGGAGAAAATTATGTGTATGTATATATAGAGATAGATAGATAGAGAACACAGGGTGAGTTGAAAATGAAGGCGTCATACCTGGAGAATAAAATTAAGGGGTGAGAGAGGGATATACTAGGAGAGGGAGAAAGGGAGAGGTAGAACGGGGTAAATTATCCCACCCAAAAAAAAAAACCAGAAAAGGAAAGGCTCTTACAGTGGAGGGGAAATGGTGGAAGGTGAGAGGGAATGAGTGAATCTTATTCTCATAGGATTTGACTTAAGGAGGGAATAACATACACACTCAGTTGGGTGTGGAAATCTGTCTTACCCTACAGGAAAATAGGAGGGGAAGGGGACAAGAGAGTAGGGGAATGATAGAGAGGAGGGCAGATTGGGAAAGGGAGTAATCAGAAGCAAATACTTCTGAGGAGGGACAGGGTCAAAAGAAAGAATAGAATAAATGGGTGGGCGGGATAGGAGTAAGGGAAATAGAGTTAGTTTTTCAGAGCATGTCCACTATGGAAGTGTTTTGCCTAACTGCATCTTGTATAGCCTATATTTAGTTGCTTGCCTTTTCAATGAGTGTGGGTGGGGAGGGAGGAAGGGAGAAAATTTGGAACCCAAAGTTTTAAAAACACATGTTTAAAAAAAAATGTTTTCACATGCAACTGGGAAATAAGAAATACAGGAAATGGGGTACAGAAATTGATCCTACCCTACAGGAAAATTGAAGGGGAAGAGAATAAGAGAAGGGGGAAAGAGATAGAAGGGAAGGCAGACTAGGGGAAGTAGTATTTAGAATGCATGCCATCTTGGGGTGGGGGGAGGGGCGAAATGGGGTGAAAATTTGGAGCTCAAAATCTTGTGGAAGTAAATGTTGAAAACAAAAAAAAAATATAAAAATTACCATTTAAAAAAAAAAGGAAAATCAGTTTTGTTACCAGTGTATTAGCAATCACTGTAATCTTATCACTTACAAAATTGGACAATTATGCTATTTATGCTTTATTCCAAATCATTGATAATTATATTGAACAAAACAGGGCTAAAGTCTAAGCATTGAGATACTCTATTAGAGCCCTCCATGATTTTCCTAACTTTCTTCAAGACTTATCTCAAATCCCACCATCTGTATTTCCTTTCATATTCTACCTTTCTGGTACTTGTTCCCTCAGCTATTCTCTAACTCTCCCCCAATCCCACCCAGTGCTTTCTTCTGACAGTACCTCCAACTCCCTTTATGTGTCTTATTTATGCATAGTTGTTTGCTTGTTGTTGCCCTTATTAGAATGTTACCTTCTTGGAAACAGAGACCTTGTTTTTACCTTTTTTTGTATCCCTCTTGATATTAACACATTGCTTGGCACATAGTAGGTGCTTAGCAAATGCCTGTTGACTGACATCAACCATTTTTTCATCTGCTTTTGAATCCATTTAACAGTATTTTTTTTTAAAGAGGGGAGTTATTTTTTTAGTTTTCAACATTACTTCCACAAGATTTTGAGCTCCAAATTTTCACCCCATTTCGCCCCTCCCCCCACCCCAAGATGGCATGCATTCTAAATACTACTTCCCCTAGTCTGCCTTCCCTTCTATCTCTTTCCCCCTTCTCTTATTCTCTTCCCCTTCAATTTTCCTGTAGGGTAGGATCAAT